TGGTTGTGTAAAGTGCTTTGGGGTCCTTAGGGTCTCGTAAAGCGCTGTATAAATACAGGCCATTTACCATTGAAGCCTCGTCTCTTCAGTATTCCTGGTGTCTCAGATCATTTCTGCCTGCCTCACTACTCTGCGAAAAGTGAAGGGAGTTGACCCCAAAACAGGACATCTACCCCTCCCGTCCCAGTCTCCGGACCATGGTCCGACGGTGAGGAAACGTTAACAATTAGTTAGTGCAGGTGAGCCCAGGTGGCTCTGACTGTTGGCGTACCTTCAGGGTGGCGTGTTAGTGAGCGGGCCTGGACCCGACACAGTTTAAGTCAGTCCATCAGATTTTTACTGAGTCCCCAATCAGCATGAAAGTTTTTGTGCATCTTTATAATCTGGATTTTAGAGTTTCTCAAATCAACAGCGCTGCTCAGCGTGTTGATCACTGATAAGCAGATGCTACATGATGATCTTCAGGGGCTCAGCCGAACTTCTGTCCTGATCTAAGCGTCTAAAGAGAGAAGCGGAGGACCCAGCGTAGAGCCCGCGCTACACCTGACACCTGTGTGTGCCTTGGTTATAACTACATACTCGTGATGCTCTCCTGCAGACACCTTCTGGATCAACCCTCAGTATAAAATTTCCCTGCTAGAGGAGGACGATGACCCCGAAGATGAAGAAGCCGCCTGCAGCTTCTTGGTGGCGCTGATGCAAAAAGACCGCCGCCGCTACCGCCGCCAAGGCCAGGACATGCACACCATTGGCTTTGCCATCTATGAGGTCAGAGGTCAGAAAGGTGATGTTGTTATCACGCTGTATTTCTGCTGTTGGTGACGTTTCCTCTGTTCTCGTTCACAGATTCCTCAACAGGTGAGTCGCTCCGGTCCGTTTCACTTTTCCGTTTTTGTTTTAACTCGCTAACGGTGGCGGCGTTGGTCTGTCCCCCAGCACCGAGGCTGTCCCAGCGTTCACATGAAGAAGGACTTCTTCCTGCGTCAGTCCTCTTGCGCTCGCTCAGAGACCTTCATCAACCTGCGAGAGGTGAGCGGCAGGTTCCGCCTGCCGCCCGGCGAGTACCTGATTGTCCCGTCGACCTTTGAACCCTCGAAGGAGGCGGACTTTGTCCTGCGGGTATTCACAGAGAAGCAGTCTGAGAGCCAGTGAGTTCACCATGATCTATCTAGACACCTTTACTTATCAAAATAAAAGACCTCTCAGTGACAGTCTGTGACTCTGCAGGGAGATGGACGACGGCGTGGTGGCGAACTTTGATGAAGAGGTAAACAAACCAAACTGGCTGCTTTATGACTTTGTGTCTTTGGCCTTTGACCTTCCTGCTCTTCTCTGCAGGAGGAAGTGTCAGAGAGCGACATCGACGACTCCTTCAGGTCCATGTTCGCTCAGCTGTCTGGAGACGTGAGTTCATGAATTAAAACGTTCTTGGACTGAACGTGCAGAAAGAGCGAGGACGTTCACTTCCTGTTTCCTCCCTGTAGGACATGGAGATCTCAGTGCGGGAGCTCAGGACCATCCTCAACAGAGTCGTGTCCAAACGTGAGTCTTCCTCAATCAGATGGAGGCTTCTGATTGGTCAGAGAGGTTGGCTCTGATGTGGTTGTGATCTGGTCTGGTTTGCAGACAGAGACCTGCAGACTGACGGCTTCAGCACGGAGTCCTGCAGAGCCATGGTCAGCCTCATGGACGTATCCTCGCCGCTCAGCACGTTGGACAGGTAAAGCTTGATGACTGATGTCTGAAATAAGACGTGTTGGCCTTGACTCGATCTCAGAAAGATGGCAGCGCTCGCCTCGGGCTGCTGGAGTTTCAGATCCTCTGGAACAAGATCAGGAAGTGGCTGGTGAGTGTGAACACCTGAAGCTCACAGGTGAAAGATATCGAGTTCATTTCAAACATAAAAACTTTATCTGTCATGAGACGGAGCACCGAGTCGCGTGTCCCTTCGATCGCTTTCCTCTTTTTCTTCCAGTCTGATTAGTTTAAGAAGTGGCCCCAAGTCTGAGCGATTGATTATCGGTGCTGGTCCATCAGGTCCTGGTTTTGTGGGTTTTAAATGTTTGGGTAACAAAATCTTCAATCCGATTGCTGATCGATCCGATCGAGTCCTGCGATGACGAGTTTGGTTTCATGTTTTCAGGGAATCTTCAGAGAGTTCGATCTGGATAAATCTGGCTGCATGAATTCCTACGAGATGCGTCTGGCGCTGGAAAATGGCGGTAACTGAGTATTGCATTGTTACTGAGCGTGCTCTGTTGCATTAAACTGACCTGAGATCTGTCGCGTCCGCAGGCTTCAAACTGAACAACAAGCTGCATCAGATGCTGGTGGCTCGATACGCCGACAACGAGATCATCGACTTTGACAACTTCACCTGCTGCCTCGTCAAACTGGAGGCCATGTTCCGTAGGTTGATCATGTGACCGCGAGAACATGCACAATAAACCTTTTAACATTTTATTTGTCCTGAGCTGCTCCGTGTGTGTTTGTCAGGAACCTTCCAGCACCTGGACACAGACGGGACGGGCACCGTGGAGATGAACCTCATCGAGGTAAACCGTCTCTGAGCTCCACAAACACTGAGCTTAGACGCGCTCGAGTATCAGACCCATGTTAGTTTCATATGAGCGGAAGCAGGTCTTTGATATGTTGCCTGTAAGCATCAGTGTCCGTCAGGCCTGTGATGAGAATAATGTTTTGCATCATTTTTCTGTGTAAATACTGTTTTCGTATTTATGGACCTGTTGTTCCATACGTGGAGTATCTTCCATCTTCAACGTACAGTCTATGTTTGTGGATCATTTCACAGGAAACATTAGGGTCGCCTCCGGCTCTGTTTGGGAACCAGGAGGTGCAGAAAGGTGTTTTAGTGCCCCTCCTGCCTCCAGTCTACATTTTATTTATTGTTTTTATAATAACAAATTTATTCTGCTGCGTAAACCAGATTACTGTGGACCGATCTTTTCATTGCTTGAGGAGCCGTGCATAAAGGATGCTTTGACTCAGTCAGATCTCTTGTAAGCCGATGATTTACGGTTCACGTTTTGTCTGAGCCTCTGCGCCAGAGCATAATTCTCACTCGCTCACATTAAAGCACAAACCTTTGAAAAATGACCCCCGCCTCCTTCCTGCGAGTCACGAGGATTTAGGACATGAATATGAATTTAATGTGATTATTACACAAAAATAAAAGAGTAAATAATCTGTCACATCAAACTTTAATCTCACAGACTGTCAATGTGTCTTCTCTCCTCAGTGGCTCTGTATGAGCATGTGCGGCTGAGTCACCGGAGCGTCAGAGCGCCTCCTCCAGGAAGAACCAGTCCATCACAGCTCTACTGCACTGAACTACACTGCAGTACTGCTACAGTAAAGCATGCAGCAGAAAGATATTAATCAGAGTAGTCTGCAGCCTTATTCATATCCTGCATGATCACACACACAGGTATTGTAGCACACCTGTGCAGGTAGTAGTTTCTATAATCACGGGTCTTCCAGCTGTTGAATGGATGCTGGGAGAAAAATAAAGTAATTGATCAGCATCGTTGTGTCTGTTTCTCTGAGCTTCGCCTCGTTTCCTGTGTGAGGAGCTGCTGATGCTGCTCTTCCCCGACCTGAAGCTTTATCAGCTGACCTTTAACCTGCCATCTCACCTCAGTATTGCAGCTGACTAATGATGTGTGAAACCGAGAGGAGTGAGCTGAACGTCGATCACACATTTATTTATTGCAGAAATAAAGAAAACAGCTGCAATGATTTTTCCATGACAGACTTTTACAAACACACTGCAAAGTTATGACATCACAGTTCCGTGATTGGTCAGTTTCAGTGTTGATGATAACGAACAGTGACAGCAGCCAGCAGCGTAACAATGTCACGTGACCAGGGTCAGGGGTCATTCAGCACAGTCAAACGTCACGTAATAAGAAAATCTGTTTAATTCAGTCCTTGTTTCGGGCCCTGCTGAGCCTCGGTGCGCACAAGAACAACCAGAGTCCTCCACCCGTGGGCCACAGTCCACCTCGTTCCAGCCTCAGTCCCGGATCTGGTGCTCCCGTCCGTCCAGCGGGCCCAGCAGCACTGCCTGGGCCTCCAGCAGCGTGGTGTCGGTGCTGGCTCCCAGGAAGCGGGCGGTGAGCTCCATGTCCTGCAGCCGCAGACGGACCCTGGAGCCCGGCTGCAGGCCGTCGGCCCCGGCCGGCCGCTGACACACGCAGTGGAACTTCCCACCGAAGTCGATGTAGAGGTCGTCGCGGACCACCCGGAACACCCTGCCCACTACCACCGCATCCTTGGCTGGGCCCATCTGGATCAGCGGGGACCGACGAAGCAGCGCAGCGAAGCTGAGCTCCGGATCCAAAGAGGAGGCCTTCGGCCCGGCCGCGTTGCTCTGTGTCTCCCGCCGGAGCACCTCCTGGTGGTCGAAGGCGGCGGAGAACCCGGAGATCGGGCTCTCGGCGGGGCCCGAGTCCGAGCTGAAGGAGTTCCGGAGGAACCGGGGGGAGAGCCGGACCCGATACCGGAGCCCCGACACGACCCTGCACAGCGCCGCCATGTTTACCGCACAACCGGAAGTTCTGTCTCCGCGCACTTCCTGTGAAGGCTGTAGAGGCAAAAGCGTCACGTGGTCCTCCAAAAAGCACTCTAAGTAGACTTTTATTTTCTACCCAACATTTTACACTTAAGTATACAGTGAGGTCAAATATCTTCCTCCTGGATCAAAGGTGCAAACTGTGAACATAAAAATGAACAAATTCAAATATGTAGCTATACAGAAATAAGATCAACTAAGAATCAGTCCAACAGTGTTGTGCTTGAATAAAAGTAGAATAAGAAATAGAAAAGAATGAGAATAAATAAATACAATAGTGCAAAACTGAATTTTCCATGCTTTATAAATGAAACCAGACAAGATTTTAAAACCATAAAACATTCCCATGATGTAAAAGCAGTTCAAACTATAAACGTTCTGCTTGTTTGACCTCTCGCTTGTGTCTTTTACCTAATGCATGAAACTGAGACCATGAATCACATTATTAGCTCACTAATTCGAATTGTTGTGGTGGCGTGACGTGGGCTCAGTGCACTCCGGATCAGCAGGTGGCGCTGTATATCATTGTACATCTGTACAGTAACAATGACGCGCGTTTTAAGTCAGGGAAGAAAAACTCAGCCAGTAAGAAGCGGAAGAGCTGCGCATGAGCGTTGTGCAACATGGAGGTGTCGGTGAGCGCTTTGGGCCGCAGAGGTTCTACCTGCGTGTTTCCGGTCGGTTCTGTGGTCAGGCACGTCCTGGACCGGCTCGTGCCGCTTCCGGAGGTGAGGCTGAGACGAATTATCCGGGATAACCAGGGTTAGCGTGAGTTAGCCCGGGTTAGGCGGTTTAAATGCACTCCGGGTATCAGTGCTAGCAGCTGCGCTAACGTTAGCATATAAAGTGTTTTGATGCATGCTTAATCTTCCAGGTAAGCACATCCCGCTCATCTGGACGTAGCGTCACTCATGTGAAAAAGTCACCTGGAAAAGTGACGAAACGTTCCTCCCACTGAAACCGCTACGTCCAGGTGAACAGAATCAACCTGTCGGCGGTTAGTATATAAGCTATAAGGCTAAACTCGGCATTAACCTGTCCCAAACGAGGTCAGCACTGACAGTAACCTCAGGTTATATCCAGAGGAGGCCGAAGCAATCACGAGTTTAACCCTTTCACGCATAGTGGTCACTACAGTGGACAGCTATTCTAAGGCCGTTTCCGTGTATTTGTGTCAGTGTTGATGGTGTACTTGCACATAAACAATATACACGGTGTGTATTGTTTATTCGTTTGTCAAATTCTTAAGTTAAAATGTTGTCCACTGAACCTCTTTAAAAAGTACATGTTTAAAAAATGAAGTTCAAAAATCATTTTTTCATTCCTAACGATGAATAAAAATCCCGATTGAGTTTGTCATAATTCATGCATGAAAGGGTGAATCACTTTTAGGGCTGCCACGATTAGTCGACTAGTCACGATTACGTCGACTATCAAAATCGTTGACGACTTTGAAGCTTTGTAAGATCCCAAAAGACGCAGGAATAAGTAGCAGGATTTAAGAGTGTAATAACGGA